CCTCCTAACACCATGTTCCAGCTACTAATAACAGTAGCATTCACTCGCTCCCATGCGGAACCTGAAACAGACTATAACTATTTTTATTTCCTCACCATGTGCCTGAAAGCTTATGATGATTGTGGTTTCACCTATTTATATTTTTTAGGGCGATGAATGTCAATTCTGTCATTACGATAAATAATGGAAGACAAAAATTCAAATGTCGAACGCTACTTTTTCTTTAAGATTTATTAAATAATCAATACACTTCAACGAGAAGCATTACAAGATAATCTACTACAATCAACCAAAATATTTTCATGTTATTATAATCACAGATTATTTCGTCGGATTTAAACCTGAGAATAAAATGTTTCGATGCTATAAACACAAGCAACTGCGTTATCGTGGCAATTTCGTATAACCCTATGCTGTAGATTTCCCTGCATCTTGATTATATAGACAATGACACGATGCGTCACTTAAACAGGAACTAACATATGTATATATTGCAAGTGCTTTTAATTTTGATGCTTACAGGTTTTCATGCATATAAAATATCAAAGACAAATGGTAAGACTGTATATAGCATTTCATATTAATATAAGCGAATCCCATACTATCAGATAGAACCCATAGCATTTTAACCTATCCGTACGTTCCAAGTTTTTTTTTCTTATCTAGCAGCAAGAAAACAGGCTCCACTTTGCTGCACCTGATCAACAGAGATCTACTCCTGGCAAAGCAAAAAATATTATTCAGGCATACATCACCATATTTCGATTCAAATCAACGCTTTTTGGAAGATATGGAAGCTTTCCTGTCGTGAATGCTGTTTTATGAGCGCAACGGCACCTTCAAGAGTATATGAAATTCAAAAAAGCTCCTTACACGACTAACAAGGTCAAAAGCTCGTAGTGTTTTGCATAATAGAAACAGATTTATTCTCACCAAACCACCTCATGCTTGGTGGTCTTGCAAAATACAAAGAAATTTCAGAGTCGAGACAAGCAGACTTTACTTTGACATGAGACGGTGAACTTTTTGCCTTGCAGTCTTGTAAGGAATTTACACAATCGAAGGGTATTGAATATTTATTTAAAGAATGAACTAACGAAAATTTGCCAACACTGGCCGAGTCGCATCCGGTAGAACACAGGACGGACCAACAGGTAATAGTTTTAAAATGGCGCATCCAAGGAAGTATTGTGCTCAGGAACACGTCTAGTTGTCTCTTGAAGGTCTCCAGGGTGAACTCCCCCTCTCTTAGATCCCTTGGTAGGGCGTTGAACAGCCTTGGTCCTGCCAAGGAAAGTGATCCTTCCCGCAGGGATTGAAATCTGACTGCGGATCTGTTACGTAATGGGGGGATCTGGCACAGTCTCCCCCTTCTCTCGTTGTGATATGTCTGAATCCTGAAGGTCTCGCTCTCGAAGTTTGGCACCATTCCGGTTATCATTTTCCATGTGTACAGAATGACATACCTCTCCCGTCTCCTCTGCAGTGAGTACAGACTCAGTCATTCACGATATTCCTATGACTACTTCTGTACTCAATGATTCGGAAATTTTCTTGGAGAATTAAATCATCTTTGATCGTTTAACTAATTTATTACATTGGATGAATCTGTTCGTTGGTAAAATATATTATTAGATTAAACTATAAGATATCTTGTCGACAACCCAGGCAAAAATAATGAATCTACACCGAATAAATGTTAGAAGCATTATTATCAGATCTTCAATAAATAAATAAATAAATAAAATTATGAATCCACTCATAATATCAATTAAGGGAAAAAAATTTTGCTGTTACTCATCGTAAGCAGGATGGAAGGCTAGGAACTTAACTAAATAAAATTAGCGAATATTGCGTTGCTCTCCACATTTTTCTAATTATGAATTCAACGGGAATTATTCATTTCATGATATGCATGAGAAGAAGAACCTTCCATTTAGTGGGCAATTTATTTCATAATAAAGTTTTTGATGAATTTTCCAGTCAATGATCTCCTGGAACAGGTCAATATTTCATCATGCGTAGTAAAGTTGAAACGTCATGGACACGCAAAGGTTCCTTTGAAGACTTTCAATAGAAGGTAAATTTGGATGAAAAATCTCATTAAGTATCTTCCAATCATTTTCGTTATGCATTTCGATGTTGTTTTCTATAATTTTCCATAATATTTATTAAATAACTTTCGTAGTAGGCAGGCAGTGAAGAGATGTAGCAGTGAATTGCAAAACTTCGATGCAATGAAGACCATGTAATTTGAACTTGCACTTTGAAAACTGATGCACTTCCTAACATTTTTATTTGCTATAAACTCGAACAGATAAACTGTTTCAATTTTTATGAGAATGTGCTGTTTATTGTGATTAAAATGTACAGATATCTACAGTTAAAATGTACTGGCTCTCTGGTTAGGTTACTTGCTATTTTTCTCTTCAAAAGCCTAAAAGCATGCAAGTTCGAATCCTTACACAATTTTGAAACAAACTTTTTTTCTGTTTTAATACGTAGAGTTAAATGACTTCTACAAGGGAATTCGATACAACTTCCGAAACAATTGTTCCTATCCTGCAAGATTCCTGGCTCATAATCGCGAATGACCTACATTACCAGGCTCTGTGTTGTTACTTGCGTACAGCAAGGCTAATGGAAAATTAATTCAAGGGAAACACAATTGACATAGTTTGCAGTTGAATGTAAAAAGTGAATTTCATGAAGATAATGTTGAAAAATGACACGACACGAGTGTAAAAATGGGCTAGAGGGGATCTTGTAGTTCAGTACTTCTACGGTAAAACCATGTAGCAATTTCGATGCTGGTCATATAAAATTCAACACAGGCCATGTATTATACTGGTCAGCCAATTCGACACAGGCCATATATATAAAACATATAGCCAATTCGCTGCTGGTTTTGGATGAAATCCATGACATTGAACAATGCCAAGCAGCTTGAGTACAAATGGTGTACCCAAATCTATGGTGTTTTCATTCTACCAACGTTGTATCATAGCTACGCTATACAGTGTAAAAGGATTGTTCTTAAAGAAAAAGTTAACAGGAGTCAGCATAATGCGAGGCGACATCACTTCGCCTTCAGTAACTTCCAGGAAAACTTCTAATGAAGTTGGTTTGTTCAGGCAATATCGGGAGTTTTTGCTGGTGCAGGCTCGCTTCAAGTCGAATTAAAATAACGCTATAATGTTGAAAGAATTCTTGTTGAATTCTTCTGAATTCTTGTTGTTGAATGTTGTTGAATTTAAACAATTTCTACCAAAATTAGTTAAAACACATCAGTAATTTCTTCCTGATGGCTGACATTCGAGGCGACCAATTAGGTATATCTATATTATGTGTCCAATGCACACCACACTAAATCTCGTCTAATGATATTTAATATTTTATTCCCTCCCTCTTTTTGACACATGTGGCCATAAAAGTTAAATAGTAAATTTGTTATCAAAATGAACACATGCTTATGAAAGCAAATCGTAGAAATGTCGATGATGTACATATATGGTCAACCGATTTTACCAGATCGAGTTATGATTTTTCATAAAAGGGCGCTTCAAATTTCTGGTGAGATATTTACTGAATTAATTGTTATTATTCAGAAATGCTAGTATTTCTAAATAGAATTTGGCTGTTTTGTTATAGAGCTGCACGGGCACGCGCTTCAAAATCCCGTGCAATTAAGTTAAAACGAAGCTAGGGCTCACAATAACTGTTCATATATGTATATTATTTTCAACAACATACATTTTGCATGAAAATGAATGCAAGTTAAATTTAAACATTATATTATTATTCTCTACATTTTCAGGCGACAGTGACTTTGTCCACGAGAGTGACCCAGGATCTTGAAATTCTTCATCTATAAAGGCTGGCCCAACTTTTCTTGAACTTACAATCACTGAAATTCCCGCAACTTTGAGGTGATATCTTCTTTATATGAAAATATTGATTCAGAAAAATAATGGAATTGATCAAATGAGGGAATATATACAAATATTTTTTTAAAAGCCTGTGCTCATAAAGAAAATGCAAATATTTTTGCAGTCACTGTAGTTACTATTCGACTTACTGGGGTCTACTAAGTAAACTTAGCCCATGAAGAGTCTTCACCGTGAAAACAAAAAGCCCATAATTGTCCAACAAGCCCACTTCACATTCATTTTTCCGATTTTGAAGTTAAGTTAACTTAAGTTAACGTTTAATGCTGAGACTTTCAGGCTATAACGTCCATTAGGCAATTTTCTGCTATCAAATGTTTTGAATTGCACTAAACCGCGCCAAATGTCAGCTTCAAAACCTACTGAAAATATGAAACGTGTAATTTCGCACTTAAATTCGAATATTTCAAAATAAAAAATTCATGAATATCGCAATTTGTGTTAGAAGAAGTTTTAAATTCAGATAAAATAAATAAAATCAATTCCTTTTTTTTTTTGTTGGAATGGTGAGTGTGGGAGGCCTTTAAAAAAAAAAAAAATTCAGAAAAAGGAATGTCTTCCAAGAAAACGTTCAATGGCTCCAAGAAATTATTATGCCTAAAAAAGTCTTTGAAGTCGGAGGAAACTGAAAATAAAGATGACGTCCACCGTAGCACAAATTTGTTTGCCGCCTTTCGTATCAAATTTCTATCAGTGAAGAATTTACGCATAGCAGGATATCTAAAATTCAACGATTGACGGCTTCTGGAACAAAATTAATGAAGCTTGAATAAAAAAAAATGTAACTCATGCAGTACTCACTGCAGTGAGTGACAGAGAGCGCATTTTCTTGTGGACGGAAACGTGGTCACAGACGGACAGACAGACGGACGGACGGACATGACGAGCACAATAGCGCATTTTTTCCATAAATTAGAAAATGAGCTAAAAATAATAGAAATTTACATTCAGTACAAGTTCAGTACAAGTTTACATTCAGTGCAGGTCAATATTCTAATTGAAATATTCAAAAATTAAATAGTAAATATTCCAGATAAAGGATAAGTTCCTTACCAATCATTGCGGGGTCCACGCAGTCGCACCGCAGTCGCAAGCCATAAGCAGACACTCGAATTTCGGTCAACGAGGCCTCGCCTACATCTACACAGGAAATTTTGCGGTAGTTAGCAGTGAGTATGAGGATTGAAAATTCTGCGCCTTCACTAGAGATTATGCCATATTAATAATAAATTATGAATTAAATGAAGGAATCATTGTATTCTCTGTATTATTATTTTTTACTGGGAAGTCATATTTAAATAAATTTGAAAAGCATATAATTTAAAAGACTCAAAATTAAAAAAAACTTTGATTAGTTACTTGAAAAAAAGGAAAGCGTCACGCACCTGTAGCATGGCATTATTTTGTAACATCGAGCAGGGCAATTTTTATTTCTAAATCTTTACTCTAATCCAAATTTGGATTGTCAATGACTCAGCACGAAGCTGCTACTCTCTTAAAAAAATTAAAGCTGAGGCACCTGCGATTTTATGACTGGTTATTTTGTTATTAATATTTCATTAGTTTAAATTAGTCTGCCGAAAACTATGATTCTCTGATGATGTTACTGATTCAATGAAGAAACTTGAACCTGTTTTAAGATCGATTTTAAGGTCGAATGACTGTATAGGAACGAAAAGCCACTTGCTAGTAAACACGCAATGCTCGCAAAAAAGTATCCTCACCTAACACTTAACTGGAATTTTACGAATATATTGTGAATGTAAATATATATTTGAAAAATTTGTTTTGGACAAAGACTAGTCCGGTTTTTTGAGAATATCTACGCTGCTTCACGTGTGGTATTCACTAGGAACACGAAGCACCTATTGTACTCGTATTGGACTACAATAGTGTTCCAGAAAGAGCATTATTTTTGCAGATAAGCTATGAGAAGTTGCATTTATTACCGTAGGTATTTGAGACAAATTCGGTGTGGATCTCGCATTTGACGCAAAGTATGGACACGTTGAATTTGAAATATCAATTGGTTGTGACAGCCAGACTGATTGTAAACAAACCTACATGATTACTAAATTTGGGAAAAAATGACTCGTTGGATCCTTGCAAGTAAATTTGCCAGCACAGTTCGTCAGTGTTGAAACAATCTTGACCAGTAATTTATTTCATAAGTGATATCAATCATTCTACCCTACATAATATATTGAATTTATATGTAATATTGAACTCCTTTTTCCATTGTGTCGACTATTTAACCACAACCTACGTGTAAATTCTTATGAAAATTAACGATCAAATTAATTAACCACCTTCAAGTAACGATTATTTTAATTAATATCGTAGTTCGTGCTGTCCATTTTACTGCTCGTTGATGTTCAGCGGTTATATGATTTCAACTGCACGAAACGCTCGAGTGTTTCAAGGCTCGTTCTGAAGAGCCAGGCACGTCTCACCGATAAATTTGCAGCCATTGAAGGCTGCTCAAATAAATGTTCTGCAACGCTCTGCAGGGCCTGTTACGCGGCATCGGTAGACATGGAAGACAACCATTGATAATTGTGCTTAGTTTAGAGGAACTCTTTTAACAGTTCATACTGTGGTGCATCTGAAGAAAATGTTTGTGAGAATAAAGCGAAAATTTTACGGACAGATGTAAATGGATTTGGCGAAGAACAGAAATAAATGGTTTGATATGATGAGAGAAAATATTGATATATAGATATGGCTGATTGTCTCAGCAGGTGCAGTGTACATCATAAGTAGAATGTACTAATAACGTAGACATTTTCATCTTACTTACAGGAATGTTCTTTAAAACACTGGCAATTTACTTCGGAATGAGCGTTTGCCATAGATTTTTCAATATCATCTATCACGATCTCAATAAAAAATAAATTCGACAGTTAGAAAGCATGGAGGTTCAGGTTCAAATAGGCCACATACAGTATGATAACCCAGGTAGAACACCTACATATGACAAATTGAGTATAGACGACACATATACTCATTTTAATTTATAATTTCATTAATGGTTAATAGTTCGCCTAAGATCATAGTCTAGGTCTGTGACCACTGAAGGCTTTATTGTCCTATTTGTTCCGCGAAGGGGCCTTTAAAAAGTAGTGTCATGCTGGTGCAAATTAAATGTACCATCACGGTAGTGCAATTTGCCGACCTCGTACTTCGCCTGGACATTGGCTTCAAGAGTAATTATAACTTTCGGATTTGTAACCAGAACGCCGTATCCATGGAACCCAGCTCCGTTGCGTTCACTGCCGACGTCGGGTGAAGACCCTGGAACGTGCCCAACTGGGTCTACTATCGACGCTAACATTCGTCGTATACCATGTGATTTTCGTTCAAGTGTAAACTGTACCTGTACTGTGAACTAGCCTAATGTATTATGTGATTAATGTGAACTGTGAATATTAGTTCTACAATGACTTTGAACTATACTGTTGTTGTCTTTGCCTGTAAAAAAACTGAACCCGCAGCTAGACGGTTGGGCAAGACGTTTACTCTAGAGAAACGCGGTTTTTCTAATTGTGTGGAGTTTCCGAAGAATTAGCCCTTCAACCCAACAGAGGTGCCGTCTTTCACTGATGAATTACTTAGTTTGAACTGATATTATAAGCCAGGTTGTCTGAGCTAGTTCAGAACCTATGACGTATCTTATGTGATTTTCCTATTATTGAGTTCATTTGTGACCTATACTTCTTACGTTGACGTTCGCCACGGCGGCCAGCGGTTACTTATTATTGTCTTGCTGTTATTAACAAATATTGCACCAGTAAATGGTTTCGGATGGATTAGAATAGGTTTTTGTACTAGCATGTCAGCGTTGCCTAGTGGTTTGAGTGAGAACTTTGGATTCTAGGTTAAGGTTTGGTGTACTAGTTAAAATGTATATATTGTGCAATAGGTATTCCTGGATTGGGGTCACGACTAGTGTAGTTTAAGCTGTCTGGGTATGGGCTTTGAAGCTCGCGGTTCAGAGCATTTTTCAAGCGTCTCTTAATAAATCTTAATAACTCTGATTTTTCCAATGTTTGCCGATTCTTTTCCCAATTGCTTTAATTAGTTCTACTATCCCGTTGGGGTAGCAAAATATGTTGCACCTCTCCCGCAACAACATGGAATTCATGATGGTTCCAAAATCCAGTTGCGAGCATGTCAACGTCAATCACCAAGTGATTGTGTCCCTAGTTTGAATCACCTAGTTTAAAGTTCTATTTGGTAAGTCTGTTGCTTATGAAGCTGCAACTTCGATCTTCAGGGCAGCCTGCTGGGCAGTTTTGCGTAAAATTATGAAAGCGACTCTGCAGGAAGTTGTAATTGAAGCTTCAGCGTAGCACTAAACTTGGGCATCTGCCTGCCGGATGGCGGCGTCATGAATGTTAACTTATTATAGACATGACTGTAGGTTCTGTGAGCTTGGCAGCTGAATATTTGTTTCTATGATAAAAAGAGTAATTTGAAGCACATTAATTGTAAATAATGAGACGCTTCTGAATGGGCGTAAAATAATAAGTTCAGACAAGCTGCCTAACCACGTGTAGGAAGGAGACTCACCATGATAAAATTACTATTTCAAGTATTAAACTACTATTTCAAGGTATGCCACATAAAATGCTAGGACAAAAAGTCCTTAAATTTCTAGAAAGTTATTTAAGGTCAATCAAACGATTGGAATTGGAACGAGTGTCTGTGTAATTTTTATTTGCTGCTTTTCCTAGAAGCACCGTGCCTAATTTGTCTAGCCAGCATTTACTGAAATAAGGCATGCATAATAATGTGATGAATGATTGATGTGTCGGTGAATTCCTGTTTCGAATGTGTCGAAAATTATTTCTTTTCATAGAACCCCCACTATTTCTGTTCAAAAACGGTCAGGTNAAAGTGCCCTAGTTTGTGTTTCATAGAAGTGTTTTAACCTCAGTGTTAACGAACACAGTGTTTTTGTTTCACCAATTGTTCTAAGATAACTAAATATTACGTTCGTGGCCGACGTTCCGCCCCTATGAGCTTTCCATCTTTGACGTTGAGAACGTCTGGTCACAGTGGAAACTATTTCATTATTCACTAATATTGCCATGAGAAGTTTTTCTTGTGAAATTCCCGACGTTCCACCCCATCTTTGACGTTGAGAACGTCGGCCACGAAAGATGGCCAGAGTTGAGCCTGTCTCTTATACACATCTAGATGTGTATAAGAGACAGTGCTCCAACAGGCCGTGCTCCAACATGCCGTGCTCCAACAGGCCGTGCTCCCACAGGCCGTGCTCCAACAGGCCGTGCTCCCACAGGCCGTTTTCAAACAGGCCGTGCTCCAACAGGCCGTGCTCCAACAGTCCATGTTCCAACAGTCCGTGCTCCAACAGGCCGTGCTCCAACAGTCCATGTTCCAACAGTCCGTGCTCCAACAGGCCGTGCTCCAACAAGGCGTGCTTTAACAGACCGTGCTCCAACAGTGCGTGCTCCAACAGGCCGTGCTCCAATAGTCCATGTTCCAACAGTCCGTGCTCCAACAGTCCGTGCTCCAACAGTCCGTGCTCCAACAGGCTGTGCTCCAACAGTCCGTGCTCCAACAGGCCGTGCTCCAACAGTCCGTGCTCCAACAGGCTGTGATCCAACAAGCCGTCGTGCTCCAACAGGCCGTCGTGCTCCAACAGGTTGTGCTCCAACCGTCCACGGCATTTACCACCCAGTAATGAATCTGGTACGATAACAGGCTGTCGGGCTGTCGATTTTCCAATAGAGTTTACTTGCAGGCCGGTTACCGCCTCGTAAAATGAACAGGACAGCTCTGCTTGGGAGACATGAACGTTCGCTCCATTCCGGATCAAAGAACGTTCGTAAAATTAAGGCATTATAAATTTTTTAATGCGTTACTTCAAAAAATTACAGCATCTGCAGGATGATGAGTGCAGAAGAAGGTACAAAGTGTGTATGAAGGCTGATTGGAGTGAGGCATTCTAGTTGGTTCATAAACAGTTCACCGTAAAATCTCTGATTCATGCAAGATTTTAAAAAGTTATTTTTGTGTCCTTTTGATTCGGTGACTATGAGCTAAATTGACAGTCATATAACATGCCGAACAAGATACGTAGGGTAGATGCATAAAACCACACTGAAATTATTCAATCTTTAAAATCTAGAACCTTGTAAAAAGCAGAATCCGAATTTCTCTCCGGTGCTGTGTTACCAGCATCTCCGCTTCTCGGTTATTCACGTAGTTCCTTTGTTTCGCGTTTCTTTCCTGAAGCAGCTTATCATAAAGGACTTTCGATCCGCTCTCACCAATGCGCCTTTATTTTTGCTTCTCAATGCAAGGAGTGAACTGCTCACCAAGAGCGACAAGCATCAGCCTAACGTGCAGCACGTAGCGCAGGCTGGCGTTTTTCTTTGGGTATCCGCGCATCCCCAAGGACCAACGATCGTCGCACTGATGGCCTTTTTAAGGCCATCACACAGGTTAAGGCCATAGCTTTAAAAAGTCAAGTCGTTAAATAGGCCCTAAAAAATTTGGCCTTTTGCCATCGCTCATGTCATCACTCTACCAATCTTTTTTCATCACTGTGTTGGCTTTTTTGTTGAGCTGTTGTTTTTCCCCTTAGAACGGTAGCTTTAAGAAGTTAAGTCGTTAAATAGGCCTTAAAAATTTCGCCTTTTGCCATCACTCTGATCATCTTTCTGCCTATCTTTTCTGCCTATCTTTTATCTGGTTTATGAGTGACTCGAAAACTAAGCAAGAAAATGCCAGTTGCATAATTGGGATGTCCTCACATCAGCATCTAAGAAAATTAAGTGAAAAATTAAATTGAATCATTAATTCAGAAATTCAGAATAATAACCGATCGTCATTCATTCTGATTTTATAAATTTCTTATAAATCCGACTATAATTTATTTTCTGAAATTTCTTCTATTTTTTATTAACTATATAGTTTTCTTATAACATATAAGCAGGTATAATTCGATGACGGAAAGTTAAAGTGATCTGTTGAACTTACGTCGCGAATTTCCAATTCTAGATTCTGTGTGAATATCAACTGAACATAAAATCAACGCGCCATGCAAGGAAAATTGCAAGAAATGAGATTTACTTCCAATTTCACCAAGTGCACCTAAACCTTTTATTTCCTCACAAACAAATTAAATTATGTACTTTTTTTGGAAATTGATGCACGAAAATACGTAAACTTTCATCAAATCGAAACTACGAGTATAAGAAACGGAACGCTAAAATTATACTATGACATTCATCTTTTTCCGACGCTCCAGCTTGCAATAATTTACTATCAATTAACAACTGCTTCATGCAAATTATATGCAGTTTCTGAAACCTTTCGCTTTTCCGGGCGTTGAAGTTCAAACATTCCATGATACAGAAATTTATCTGCTGAATATAAAAGAAAAAGCTATTTAGATGTAAAAATATTTGTTGCCTCATATTTATATTTGAAATATAAGAATCCTATTCCTACACTAATTGCAAAAAATGAGTAAGCATTCTTTTCTTCATTTCGCATTTAATTATAAATAAATTCCGCAAGTCATCTGAAATAACCTTGCAAATGGCCGTACACTGAATAAATTGTAATTTGTTCCTGTAATTTGAACTAATTTAACTCTATTAATTAGTTTTTGTTCGCAATTTAAATATATTCTGATCATTATGAGTTAACTTTAGGTGACGCTTAACCAAAAATTCTATTGTTTGTCTCTCAATGGCAAGCTCATTATTATTTATTTTTAAATAACAAAAGAACAACGATGTGACAGTAAACACGCACACAGGGCCCTGTTGCAGAATTTTATCTTCAGGTCCCATTAATTGTTGCATGAAGTACTTAGGTCGTTTTGCTCGCTAATTAGCATACGATTTTCATTAAAGTTCCAGAAATGCGAAATTCCAACTTCAGAGCGGTTGAATTCTTCGCTGATATTATAATAAACATTGCACGTGTGCTGAACGGCGGTAAATATTTATTGCGAGTAAAAATAATTATACTAAGTTGTTTTATCGTGGTATTTGATACACGAAAATGTAAATTTCGTTAAAATCTATAAACACTTATAGTAACGTGAACCATTGAAAATCGTTCACGATTTTTATACGTTTTATTATTGCTTATTTCAGTTTCTTCATCATGTGACAAATTAATTCAGAATAATTGCTTCTGATGAATTTCTAGTGAGGTCAGTTGCATCGACCTAATCTCACATGATTTGCATCAGATAGAAGAGACGAGGGCGGGGCAGTTTCGTCGCTAAGTATGATGTCTGTGAGCCGATCAGCAAAAATGTATTGCACTGGGGCCATACTTTCACAATACGCTAGGTGAACGTAAGTACTTACGCAATATTATCTTGTCTATGATTGGTGGATTTTGCCTGAAAGGCCGTCAATGATTGGCTGATGAACTTACGATCTCTTAACTTTTTTGAAAGCATGGGACCTGGCCTTTATAGTGGCAGCAATGTACTGCCGATACAGATTCGACTCTTGTTGCCGCAGAGCGCCATCTTCCTGACAGTACCGCAATCACGACACCCCTGTTGTGTCATATTTTAAAATATAATTGCTAAGTTCCTGGTTTTAAAGTGCCCTAGTTTGTGTTTCATAGAAGTGTTTTAACCTCAGTGTTAACGAACACAGTGTTTTTGTTTCACCAATTGTTCTAAGATAACTAAATATTACGTTCGTGGCCGACGTTCCGCCCCTATGAGCTTTCCATCTTTGACGTTGAGAACGTCTGGTCACAGTGGAAACTATTTCATTATTCACTAATATTGCCATGAGAAGTTTTTCTTGTGAAATTCCCGACGTTCCACCCCATCTTTGACGTTGAGAACGTCGGCCACGAAAGATGGCCAGAGTTGAGCTGGCCATCTTTGACGTTGAGAAGGTCCGGTCACAGTGGATACTATTTCATTATTCACTAATATTGCCATGAGAAGTATTTCTTGTGAAATTAATCTGAAAATGCTGAATTTAATGTTACCCCAACAGTCATTTTTTCTGTGACAATAAAGCAATTGAAGTTTTCGCAATTTAAATCTTAGTATCTAATTGGCCTCAAATAGCTGTACATTCCATATGCGTGTTAATTATTTCTAAGGCTAATTCTCTATTTTTTCACATTTATCTAACTTCTGCGACATCGTGAAAGGGTAAGCAATAAGAATGACTAAGGAAATTGATAAGAATTGCACTGCTTCCGTTAACCGTTCGATCATCTTGCCTGCCAAGACGCTAAATGTGTTAAACGGTTTTCCTCTAAGGAACTTGCAGAGGTTATGCGGAGCTCAAAATTACTTCTTTATTAAAATAATTGAATAGTAATGTTTGTAATAAATCTACATTGTGATCCAGAGCGATTGCAATAAGTCGTCTTTCGTCTTCTTGATAAAAATTTCACTGATCTATATGATCAATAAAGCTTCAGATTGATATTATTTTCGATCCAATGCTTCATTCAGAGCCAGCACCTCGGCACCGCTGACGTACTCGTAAAAATTTTGAGTATGGCCCTCTTAATTACCGTGAAGACAGAACACGTCACATGATTGAGAGGAAAAAATTATCGACTAGATATATGATAATTGAAAGCCCTGTATTTTCACGGATTATTTATTCGTTTGCTTCTTGTTAAGGCATTGTCATTGTATCCTCCCTCTGATGTTCAGTATGTTCTTTTCTAATTTTATACTCTCATGCCGATCAACTTCTAAATGTTTTTAACTGCAAGATTAATTTGAACGAATTACTGGGCTGGGAAAATATTTTAGAATTAATTATTTCAGTCATTTCATACAAACATTTTCCTTTCATTTTTGGTTCGAAAGAAAAATATTTTTTTGCCGACATAAAAGACTTAGTCTGGAGGTTACTAGCCAAAAAGCATAGCACATCCGTCTTGCGTGTTTTTCTCAACGTTTGGCCGTCGTTTAATTTAGCCAAACTGCCACGTGGGAAATGCAGCGCTGCACGAACCTTACAGACGGAAGTTAAATGACAGCCTTACAGACGGAAGTTAAATGACAGCCTTACAGACGGAAGTTAAATGACAGCCTTACAGATGGAAGTTAAATGACAGCCATGCAGACGGAAGTTAAATGACAGCCTTACAGACGGGAGTTAAATGACAGCCTTACAGACGGAAGTTAAATGACAGCTTTACAGACGGAGGCTAAATGACAGCCTTACAGACGGAAGTTAAATGACAGCTTTACAAACGGAGGTTAAATGGCCGCAAGCTCAGCTAGGCTGAATAGGCTTTCCATACAAAATAGGAGTTCTAAGAAATCGAGACCTCAATAGGCATATGCTGTATTGCTGTGCATCTCTTCAATAAGTTGAATAAGACTTTGCGAAATATCATTAAGATGATTTAAATTGTATCATTTTATTATTCGCAACAACGGGAAAATGTAACAGTAAATAGAAAATGTAATCCAATAATTATCTAAAATAACGTCTTATATTATTTAATTAGTTGTTCGTGAGAATAACAAGTAATTTATTTTTCATGCCCTGTTCAACCTGAGATCAATCTGCATGCGTGAAAAAATGTTAATATTTATTAATGAAATTACTTTAACCTGTTATTTCATTTAAAATGGAATTTGATTTACAGTGATAATATTTCGTTAGTTTCTTCTATGCTTTCTTCCACCCACACTGTGACGCTAATTGTATCATTTCATCATCAATGGGACGGCTAATATCCATGAAATTAAAGCTCTTATATAACTTCTAGTTTTATTATTGAATATTTTATTTATTTACATATTATATTATATTATTGATTATTTAATTTATTTATATTTTATTTATATTTTATTTCTTCGTTTAAATTTACAAAGTTTAAATTGCCCCAATGTTGTCAGCACAATGTCTTTTTTCTATGATTGAAAATTATCGGTGGTATATTATTTTTGCTGTATACACAATAGATCGTTTTAATTTTTCTTGCGGTTAAAACAGAAGAGATAAACAATTTTTCTGGGTCGATTTAGTAAATTTAATATATGTTATATGGCATAAATTCAGACTAAACCTTACCAAAAAATTCAGAACACCCAGAAATGTGCACAATAATATGAATTAAATTAATAAGTCGTATTGTGATATGTGTCTAACAAGAGTGAGGCTACATCAGTAACAACGTTATGGCGGCTGCTGAAGAGAAAATCATCTATGGAACTCATCAGGTATCAATAACTCTGTGATATTTGATCTCTGAAGAAAAAACTGATTTAAAGCCCTGTCTTTGATAGGGTTGTTATTGCAGGGCTGATCAATCATCAAAATAGACGGCTGTCGAGATCTGCCGAGGCAATGTTTTACGTACGTCTTTATTGCCGGTGGTCACAACTGATGGAAGTCGATCTTGGCGAGTAATTGATCGGGCCC